GTTACCCAGGCTAGAGTGCAGTGGTGTCATCATAGCTCACTGCAATCCCAAACTCCTGGGCTCAAGTGATCCTCTTGCCTCAGCCTCTGGAGTAGCTGTGAATATAGGTGTGTGCCACCACACCCAGCTAATTTTTTCTATTTTTGGTTGAAACAGGATCTTTCTGTTGCTCAGGCTGGTCTCGAACTCCTGAGCTCAAGCGATCCTCCCGCCTTGGCCTCCCAGAGTGCTAGGATTATAGGTGTGAGCCACCATGGCTGGTCTAGAACACTATTTTTATAGATAAAATTTTAATGTGCTAATTAACCAAATTTTTATTCTTTTTTAGTTGCAAAAACATTTTGGTTCCTGACTTGAAAGTTGTTAGCATATCCTACAAATTATAAGAGTATTTTGTGGCACTAGGGTTTATCCTTTATACTTCTATTGTTTTTGTATCTCACAGCGTCTTTTTTTATGGTGATCATTTGTATTTTTCTTATAGCTGGAATTTACCATGCAAGAAGCTGTGCAATGTTTACATGCTCTGGAGGAGTACTGTCCTTCTAAAGATGACTATAGCAAGCTCTGTTTGCTTTTGACTTTGCCTCGTCTGACCAATCATGCTGAATTTAAGGACTGGAATCCTAGCACTGCACGAGTTCACTGTTTTGAAGAGGCTTGTGTCATGGTTGCAGAATTCATCCCTGCTGATAGGAAGCTGAGTGAGGCTGGTTTTAAAGCAAGTAACAATCGTTTATTTCAGCTTGTAATGAAAGGCCTACTTTACGAATGCTGTGTAGAATTTTGTCAGAGTAAAGCAACTGGAGAAGAAATTACAGAAAGTGAAGTACTTCTTGGCATTGACCTCTTATGTGGTAATGGTTGTGATGATTTGGATCTGAGTTTATTGTCATGGCTTCAGAATCTCCCATCTTCTGTCTTCTCTTGTGCTTTTGAACAGAAAATGCTTAATATTCATGTTGACAAACTTCTGAAACCTACAAAAGCTGCATACGCTGATCTTTTGACTCCTCTTATTAGCAAACTTTCTCCCTATCCATCATCTCCAATGAGACGACCTCAATCAGCTGATGCCTATATGACCCGCTCTCTGAATCCTGCTTTAGATGGCCTCACTTGTGGACTAACCAGTCATGATAAGAGAATTTCAGACCTTGGAAACAAAACTTCTCCAATGTCACACTCCTTTGCTAACTTCCATTATCCAGGGGTTCAAAACCTCAGTAGAAGTCTCATGCTTGAGAATACAGAGTGTCACAGTATTTATGAAGAATCCCCTGAGCGGTAAGTATTTGCTCATAAAAATTAGTGAATCTTCATATGACCGGGATAATCTCATTGTAGTGTGTATGTACGCTTTCTTAATGTTCAAGTCCCTTTAGTTGAAAGTCCTTAAAACATTAGAAAGGGTTTTAAAATTTTGATAATTAAAATAAGGGAAAATATGTGTTTATTTAACTTATTGTTATTTTTTTTAATAGAGACAGTTTCGCTCTGTTGCCCAGGCTGGAGTGCAGTGGCATGACCATAGCTCACTGCAGCCTCAAGCTCCTGGGCCCAAGCAATCTTCCCATCCCAGCCTCCTGAGTAGCTGGAACTACATGCACATGCCACCATGCCTGGCTAATTTTTGAAAGTTTTTTATAGAGAGAGGGTCTTTCTGTGTTGCCCAGGCTGTTCTTGAACTCCTGGCCTCAAGTAGTCCTCTTCCCTCGGCCTCCCAAAGTGCTGGGATTTCAGGTGTGAGCCACTGTGTCTGGCTGATTTTCCATATTCTTAAACATTTCTTGAGATCAGTGATTAATGATAAATGTGCAGTATTTCATTGTATGACTATATCATAAATTTAACCAATTCCTTATTGTAGAATACTGGGTCGTTTCTACTTTTTTCTCCTATACATCGTAATGTAATGAACAATTGTATGCATAAGACCGATAATTTCCACTTATCTTTCTTTATAGATTCTTTATATATATTAAGGAAATGATTGTTAAGGCCACTTTGGTTTTTCCTTCAAACCTGGCATGATATAATAATTTCCTCATCAGAAGTTCATTTCGGGGGTTAGGAAACTTTCTGTCTTGCTTTTCCAGTAAACACATCAAAACATATGGATGGTTTCCTATAACTCAGAGTTGGTACTATTAAGTATTAGTATTAACTGCAATAAATTTATTTCATAAAAGAGCACAAAAACTAAACCTTTTCTTACTATACAGGATAGTTGGAAGCATTCTTTGCAAAGGAAGATACACTGGACCCAGAATTTCTGTTTCTAATTAGAGCAAGTGGAGATCTTTGGTTAAGGTATAAGAAATAATAGGGTAAATCTATAGGGAATCATTTTATGTTAAATTGCTGTGAGATTGTAGAGGAGAGAAGTTGTAATACTTTCTTTAAAGTTCTTTAAAGAGAAGGGCCACTAATGTGGATCATCTAAGTGAGGGACTTCCTGAAGGATCGGGTAAATTCTTAAGGTACTTTGTGGCTCCCTATTTCATCTTTGCAAGATAAAGATGATATTTAGTGATGAAAATGGGTAAGTATAATTTCATATAGGAGCATCCTATTGAAATCCCAAAGGAATAGGGAGTCTTGGCCATTGGTAGAGACTATTTTAAACTTTTGTTAGACCTACTAACATTTTTTGAAAAATTCTCACTGGGATGCTGGGCTTCAATTTTGAGAGAGCTGCTGATACTCTTCTACGTATGTAAGGTGACAGAAGCTTCTTCATCA